GATTATAAAATATTAATTTATTAACATTTAATTAATTTTTAAATTCAATTGGATGAAGAGTGGACTCCACACCTGCCGCGTCATCACTTAAAAGTAAAGTTGAAAATTTAATAGAGATCTAACACTGCAACGGATTCATAAGTTGAGGTATGACATTGCAATGTTTAAAACATGAGGTACGTGATCAATGCAAGAGGACATAAAGCTGTATACGAAAATCTATTCTCCAAATAAACAAGAAGAATTTCGTCAAAAAAAAAAAATCAAATAAAATAAAATAAACAAGAAGGATAAGATGAAAAAGCATATCACATGGAATTGGATCTGCTCCAGACCTTAGTGTATGGAGCTTAAGGATCAACTAATCTGGACCGCACAAATTGAATTCAACGGTCTCCATTATTCATTTTCCTAACCCATCACACACAAACCAACAACTCTGATTTCTTTTACACACCAATAAGTGGTCCAGATAAATATATCCTTAGGTTCTTAACTCTAAAGTCTGGAGCGAATCCAATTTCATATCACATTTGGGTTTAAGTTCAACTGCAAGTCCCAATGCGCCCCCATTTGATGTAGGCTTGTCCTCTACCCAACCCAACTTATTATCAATGCATCCCATCATTCCATCAGTATACATTTGTACGTTAATTGGGATAATTAAAAAACTGCCTTTTGAAATCTGATATATATAGGATTATATCCTCTTCAGATTCTCTTTATGAAGATCCTAAGGATTCTTATATTTTATTCGTTCATCATACATTGTGTGATTAAAAATTAAGGAAAACTAACCAAAAGGGCTTCAAAATTTTGAATTTTAACCAAAAACCATATACAAACTTTATTTAATGATAAGGACAAAAAATAAAAAATAAAAAAAAAAAATAATCCAACCCAACAGTGCGAAAGCACGCGCCAACCAATTCAAATATCAAATCAAGCATTTGCTGTAACTGTGAGCAGATATAACTGATAAGAAGACTAACATGCAGTGCAAAATAAGTAGTGGGAGTAGTACAATGAATGATGAGATGAAATGGATGGATGAAATAAATTATTTTTAAAACATTTCATTGGGAAGGAAAACGTGAGAGTGAAGCTTCAATGACTCTTTTTTCTTTTAGAGAAGGAGAGAGAGAAATCTGTTTACGTACAGAAAGAAAGAAAGAAAGAAAGAAAAGAAAAGTAGTAATTTTCAACAGAAAATCAACGGTGCACAAGCAACACCCAAATTACTTTTTAAATATTTCATCGGGAAGGAAGGGAGAGAGTGTGTAAGGAAGAGAGATTGTGAGGGTAGAGCCAACCAAATCCTTTCAAACTGACATCAACAAACTCCAAAAAATTTTAAAAAGAGAGAGAAATTTGAGATAAAAAAATACATTGCTTGTGACATTCCACATCGCCCAGGGGAGTGATCCTTAAATGTATATTCCCATCCCTACTTAGCACGAGGCCTTTTGGGAGCTCACTGGCTTCGGGTTCCATAAGAACTCCGAAGTTAAGCAAGAAGGGGGTTAGAGCAATCCCATGATGGGTGACCCACTAGGAAGTTGCTCGTGAGTTCCCAAAAACAAAACCGTGAGGGAATGGTAAGCCTAAAGCTAACAATATCATGCTACAGTGGTGAAGCGGGCCTAGGAAATGATCCGCCTCGGGTCGGGATGTGACAATTTGTATCAGAGCAGGCCTAGGAAGTGATCCGCCTCGGGCTGGGATGTGACAATTTAGCTCTGATACAAATTGTCACATCCCGACCCGGGGCAGATCACTTCCCGGGTCCGCTCCACCACCGTAGCACGATATTGTCCGCTTTGGGCTTACCATTCCCTCACGGTTTTGTTTTTGGGAACTCACGAGCAACTTCCCAGTGGGTCACCCATCATGCGATTACTCTAGCCTCATTCTCGCTTAACTTTGGAGTTCCTACAGAATCCGAAGCCAGTGAGCTCCCGAAAAGTCTCGTGCTAGGTAGGGATGGGAATATACATATAAGGATCACTCTCCTGGGCGATGTGGGATGTCACAATCCACCCCCCTTAGGGCCCAACGTCCTCGTCGGCACACCACGACCAGGGTTAGGCTCTGATACCAAATTGTCACATCTTGGCCCAAGGCAGATCACTTCCCAGGCCCGCTCCACCACCGTAGCACGATATTGTCCTGCTTTGGGCTTACCATTCCCTCACGGTTTTGTTTTTGGGAACTCACGAGCAACTTCCTAGTGGGTCACCCATCATGGGATTGCTTTAGCCCCCTTCTCGCTTAACTTTGGAGTTCCTACGGAACCCGAAGCCAGTGAGCTCCCAAAAGGCCTCGTGCTAGGTAGGATGGGAATATACATATAAGAATCACTCCCTTGGGCGATGTGGGATGTCATAATGTTGACATCAATACATGACAGTAATTTGTAAGGAAATAGTTTAAAAAATAGTGATAGTGCTAGTGTTCGATTTTAAGAAATAGGCAGTGTTTAGTTTACGAAATAGTTAGCTTTTTGTTTAAGAAATAGTCAGTGCTTAGTTTACGAAATAGTGACAATACTAGTTTACGAAACAGTGATAATACTAGTGTTTGGCTTGAAGAATAGTCAGTGCTTAGTTTACGAAATAGTGATAGTACTATTACTTGGTTTAATATATATAGTCTATTGTATTTGGTTTAAGAAATAGTCAATGTTTAGTTTACGAAATAGTAATAGGACTAGCGTTTAGTTTAAGAAATAGTCAGTATTCAGTTTACGAAATAGTCAGTGTTTAGTTCAAGAAGTAATGATAGTATTAGTGTTCCGTTTAATATATAGTTAGTGTTTAGTTTAAGAAATACTGTTCAGTTTAAGAAGTAGTCAATGTTTAGTTTACAAAATAATGTTTGGTTTAAGAAGTAGTCAATATTTAGTTTAAGAATAGTGTTTAGTTTAAGAATAGTGTTCAGTTTAATAAGTAGTCAATGTTCTGTTTAAGAAATAGTCACAGTATTAATGTTCATAAAACTAAATAATGAAATTTTTCTTTATTTTTGATTTTGTAATATTATTACTTAGTTTGTTCTAAAACAATTGAAAGAATAATCAAATAAACAAATAATAAAATAAAAACAAAATGTTTATAGAGTGAGGTGAAAGGAGAGAGAAGAGTGGGGAGAGGTGAAAAAAGAAAACAAAAAAAAAAAAAAAAAAAAAAAGTTGATGTGGATGGATGAGGTGAAAGGAGAGAAAAAAAATGCATGAACACACGAAAGAGGGAGAGAGAGAAAGAGGTTGAACGGTTAAGTGAGGAAGAGTGTGATCGCGCGTCAGTAGATGTTTTTTTTTTTTTTTTTTTGTTTTTTTTTCTGTTTTGTTGTTATGTAAAACTTTTGTCATTTTTATTAAAATTTAAGTCATTTTTATTAAAGTTTAAGCCTTTTTTATTAAATAAAGTTAGTATATGGTTTTTGGTTAATTAAAAGTTTTGAGAAGCCATTTTCATTAAAGTTCTCTAAAAATTAAACACAAACAATATCTAATGAAAGCTAACAGCACGATATATGATGAACGGATAAAATGTGAGGATCTGAAAAGAATCCTCATCTGCTAATTAGCTCATTCATTTCTAATCTAGCTTTTTTGGTGTTGAGTTTTTCCTTTGAAGATCAATGCATGACATTCCGTCAAGTTACGTTAAAGAACACACACGAAGGTTAAAACAAAAATAAAATATATATTTTTTTCATTAAAAGGAGATCAGCTGATGGTTTTGTCACAGCAGTCCACTTTTTCGGAGGTCAGGAAGACTCACATAAGTATTTCAATATTTTCCTGACCACCATTGTGTGATACGAGCCTGAAATTCGTTTCAATTAAAATAGTTGAACACGGTAAAAATAGTGATTAAAAGGGTAAACAAATCCAACTAAGGTTACAACAAATGTAGGAAAAAAATGTCAAGTCATGTTTGCTTCCTTCAACACCAATTCAACGAAACTTGTTAAGTAACTAACAAAAACAGACTCATGTACCAAATTGGTATAACACGTGTACCAAAAGAAGAGATTCATCATTTCCTCGTAGATTTAAATGACACAAATTAACAAGTGGTTATTTATTACAGTAATGGAAATGTATTGAGTCATTGCATGACAGCATGTCAGCATGGGTTAAAATCTAATTAGTGGTTAATCTAACATTTAATCCAACAAATTTATCGTTTGACAAAAAGAAATAAAAAAGCACAAATTATTTCTTATTTCCATTGTCTAAAAATCAGGTATAGATATCCTAATTCAGACACTGACCACATAAAAAAGAAGAAAAAGACCATTTTCACACCCCTTCACCTTTTGAGAAACCAAAAAAAGCAATAGAAGGAATACGTAAAAGTCAAACCAAATCCTATTGGGTACTCCCCAATTTTTTTAAAGGGTAAATTACTTCCTAAATTATTATTATACTTTAAAACGACTCCTTGAATAATTTATTTGAAAATTAATTTCTTGAACTATTTGAAATCAGGTAATTAATCCCTCACTATTAGATTTGATGAAATGTTATCCATTTTGTGGTCAAATGCTGGCACGACTTTACCATTAAGAGTGAATAATGTGTTGATTATGCACCAGTATTTGAAAGCAAAGTGGATGAAATCTCATCAAATCTAATGGTGAAGGGTTAATTGACTAATTTCAAAATATGCAAGGGATTAGTTTACCAAAAAAATAGCTGATGATCAATTTCAAAATGGAAAAAAATAATTCAAAGAGTCAAATAACAGTTTACTCATTTTCAAAATAAATAAACAACTTACCCGACACACCCAAAATACAGCGTATTTCATATACAATGATATTTTACGTAGTTAAAATAAGTTAAGTGACACAATGCGTTCTAAATAGGTGTTAAACTCGTAGTTCACAGAGCCGGACACAAACCGACAGAAATGTTTTCAATAGGAGTAGATCGCATCACGTGGATCTAAAAAACTCTTGTGACGATTGGCACGTGGCCACATATATACCAAACCAAACTTTGACACACTCGTAAAAACATTCAAACATCTTTGGTGCGCTGCCTTGATCTTTTTGCTGCTCTGCTTTGAGTCTGCTGCAAGATCCATGATTTGGCTCAATGGAGACTCCGATCCACTCCCTCCCTAGAAATCATCTGGGTTTAACCTGTAAGTTAATTACTCTTTAAAACCAGAATTTTTGTGTTATTAAATATTAATTCAGTCCTCTCTGAATCGCTTTTTTATTTTTTTGTTAATTTCCAACTATTCAATCCTACACACCAGAGAAAAGTCAATTTCAGATTTGAATTGGATTGCTAGAACCCTGATTTTGTTTTTCTTGATTTTATTGGTCGTTATTAATTTTGTTTCAGATGGTAAATGGTAGTAAATTTCCGAATTTTGAAGTTTTTCAGTGGCTGAATGCTGTGGTTCTTCAATTTTACTGAATTTTGTCGGCTGAAGACAATTTGGGGAAGTGGGTTTTTGATTGGATAGTGAGGTTGATTTGGAGGGTTTTAGGGTGTGGTTTAGAATGGCGAGTTCTCCATTTGAGGTGGAGGATACAGACGAGGATTTCTTTGACAGATTGGTTAATGATGACATTGACTTTACTGAATCTGTGCATAAACCGGTAGAGAAGAAAGAGTTTGTCGATGACAAAGCTTTTTCGAAATTGAGTATTTCAGAAGCAGGTCCTGTGGGAGTAGTAGACACGGGCGGCAATGCTAGTCTTGGGGTTAATGGTGAATTGGGTCATGAAGATGGGGCTGTGGTGGAACAGTTAGGTGTCAGTCAGGTCCCTGCAGTTGTTAAAGAAAGTGAGTCGATGAAACCTGATTCTAGAAATGAGGCCAGTGCATTGGATAATATAGCCGATAATAGAAAGGGGGTTAGTCTATTGGATGATAGAGTCGACATTAGAAATGCGGCTGGTGCATGGGATGATATGGCTGATAATAGAAATGAGGCTAGTGCATTGGAGGATAAAGCGGGTAATACAAATGAGGCTGAGGCATTGGAAGATAAAGGGAAGGAAGGTTCAGTGAATGGGACGGTGAATACAAGTTTGGCATCAGTGGGATCAGGAGTGAAAGTAGCTCAATGGAGTTCGTTTAACTTGGATTTGAATCCTTCTGGTGAATTTGGAGATGTTTCAGGGGACCCATTTGTAAATTTGGGTGATCCAGACAAACTGTGGGCCGAGTCTAATGTCACTGATAGTGGTTTGGAGAACTCAGTTCCTGATTTAGGTGTTTCTAGTTACGGGCAGCACCAAGAAGGTCAGCGCTATGGGGTTGTTGAGGGACAAAATTTAGATGGGCAGGACTTGAATACGAGCTTGGCATCAGTGGGATCAGGTGTGAAAGAAGTTCAATGGACTTCATTTAACTCAGGTTTCGATCCTTCTGGTGACTTTGGAGATTTCTCCGGAGACCCATTTGCAAATTTGGGTAATACAGATCAATCCTGGGCCACGTCTAATGTCACTGATGGTGCCTTGGAGAGCTCAGTTGCTGGTGTTTCTAGTTATGGGCAGCAACAAGGAGGTCAACACTATGGGGCTGTTAAGGAACAAAGTACAGATGGGCAGGAGTTAAATAGTAGCCAGAATTGGGATAACCTTTATCCGGGATGGAGGTATGATCCAAATACTAGGCAATGGTATCAGTTGGAGGGTTATGATGTGAATGCAAATACAAGTGCAGATTTGAACATTAATGCAAATGTTCAGGAAAGGGTAAATGTGAATTCTCAAACTGCAGACAATGTTTTTTCAGACCAGAAAGCAGATGTTTATTATTTACCGCAACAAGCGCAGTCTGTTTCTCAAAGTGCGGCTCTGGGATCTGAAACTAGCGCTGTTTCTGGCTGGAACCAACATTCTAACGGGAGCACAGTCTACCCTGCACATATGATTTTTGATCCACAATACCCCGGGTGGTACTATGACACAATAACCCAAGAATGGAAGCAGTTGGAGTCTTCAACTCCAGCTTTTGACCAGTCAACAAGTGTGGAGTATAATCAGCAGTATCACAATTTAAACGTGGAGAATCATGGTTCAGATGTTGCAAACTCGGATGGCTCTATGAGCACCTACAATCAGCAAAATGCGAGCATGTGGGATAATCAGAAAGTTTCTGCAAGTGACACTATTAGTGTTACTGAGACACAGCAGTACGCGACCCAGTATTTCTCAACTGGGCATGTAACCAATTCTGTGAATCAACAAATAGCGTTCAATCCTTCTGGATCCGTTGCTCTTAATCAACCGGCAAGTCATGGCTATGATTTAAGTAGTGGGGTTCAAGGGTTTGAAAGCTTTAATCCTGCTGGAAACTTATCTCATCATCATCATCAAGCTAAGGAGCCAAACCAAGTGACACGCTTCTCACCTGCTAACTTTGATAGTCACAAGCCAGTACAATTTTTACAGCAACCAATTGAAAGGGGAGCTCAGTTTTCTCATGAAGCAAGTGCAGGGAGGTCATCTGCAGGACATCCTCCACATGCTTTAGTTACATTTGGATTTGGTGGGAAACTTATAACCATGAAAGATAATAGCAATATATATGGAAGCCAGGTTAAGCCTTACCTTCTGATTTCAATTTCCTGTGACACATACCTACTTATATATACATACATGTTTCTACTCAAATGTCTGGTGTTGGCATAGGCCTTAATTTCGTTTTCTTTTCTATTTGTTATTTGAAGGACTCTGTAGGAGGTTTGATTAATGTTCTCAATCTGATGGAAGTTGTTGTCGTGGACAAAACTGATGTTGCAAGCTTTGGAAATGATGGTTGTGCTTATTTCCATGCATTGTGCCAACAGTCATACCCTGGCCCTTTGGTTGGGGGGAGTGTTGGAAGTAGGGAAGTAAACAAATGGATAGACGACAATATTGCAAACTGTGTAACTGCTTCTATGGATATCAGAAAAAGGGACCATTCGAGGTTGCTTTTCTCTTTACTAAAAATAGGATGCCAATATTATGGAAAACTTCGATCTCCCTTTGGCACTGATGTAGCATTGAAGGTACTTTAATTTGTGGTTCGTAAATGACTGTTTATGTATGACCTGTTTGGATGTTTCATCACATTTTATTTGCGTGATTATCATTCTCAATTTGAGTCATAAATATTGGAAATTTGGCAAATTTGTGAATTTCTAGTTTTTATTCTATGATATTAACTATGCTGGTTATACATCTTCCTTGATGGGGCATGCTCAATTGATGGATTTTCTCATTAGAAGCATTGTATTTAGTGATAATTGTCACTTAAGTTTCATGCGACAACATTAATAGTATGCCAATTATGGTTAAATAATAATAGGAGAGTACAAGAGCATCTGCAATGGGAGCCCATGTAGGGACTCCACCACCAACTTTATGGACTCATTTAGGGATTTTAAGGGAATATTTGGGTCATAAAGGAATATTGTCTGCAATGAGAGGTCCTTATAGTATAATCCCTAAATGTAGGGACTAAATTATAAGAAAATCATTCTTCATTTTGTTGGAGTATTGTGGCCGTTGATAAAACCAAAAAGCTCTCTACCGTTGGAAAAGAAAAACCAAAGAGATGGCTTGCGTGTATACTGACAGCTTGCTTGTATATTTAGTTGTTATCTTGCTGTATTACCCTCTCCATCCTAACATTAGTGAAATTGGTGATTTACGATTTATTTTGCTTTTTCTTTTGGGGTGTGAGTTTTCTGTAGAACAAACTGTATCTATTTCAACCCTAAATCCTCTGCATTTCAATGATTCTTTTGAAGATTGAAAATGAAGAACTTTTTTTATTTGTTCAAGAGGGTTCAACAGTTCTCATGTGATATGATTATTAACCACTTCTGTAAAAATATAATTAGGAATCTGATAGTCCGGAGTCTGCCGTTGCCAAGCTTTTTGCCTCTGCTAAGGGAAGCAATGAGTATGGTGCTCTTATGTTACAGAACTTGCCTTCTGAAGCACAAAGTCAAGTATGTCATACTCTAACTCTCTCTCTCTCTCTCTCTCTACACATAAATTTTCAATGCCTTCCATAATGAATATATGTTTTTTCTTTAGGCGACTGCTCTTGAGGTACAAAATCTTCTTGTCTCTGGTAGGAAGAAAGAAGCTTTACAATGTTCACAGAATGGTCAATTGTGGGGTCCAGCACTTGTCATTGCATCACAGCTTGGTGAACAGGTTCTTGCAATCAAATCATCTCTCGGTTTTATTTATATTGGGCGATCCTTTTTATATAATAAAAACATACTAAGAAAGCTTGTCCGATCTAATTTAGAATTTGTTTTTTATGGTAATGTTAACTGGTTTTGTTTCGATGTTGCATGCAGTTTTATAGCGATACTGTGAAACTTATGGCACTAAACCAGTTAGCAGCAGGATCACCATTGCGGACTTTGTGCTTATTAATTGCTAGGCAGCCTGCAGATGTGTTTTCCAATGCCACTACAGATAGCAGCCTACATAATTCTATGAATGTATCACAAGATTCACAACAGCGCACACAGGTGATTTACAGTTATTTGGTGCAGACAAAATGGGTTATTCATGTAGGCATACACCTGGTTTTTGTTGTAAACTCTGACCTGTGTGTTTTCTATCTTCGTTTAAATTCTGTTTTTTTTTTTTCTTTTTTTTTTTGTTATGCAACTGAATAGGAAACTGTAGTGAAAACCTTGCCTTTGTGTTGAATAGTCATGATCATTGAAGTTCCTTGTGTGCTATTGCCTAAATTTTGACTATTCCTTACCACAGATTGGAGCCAATTCCATGTTGGATGAATGGGAAGAGAATTTAGCCATCTTAACTGCTAACAGAACAAAAGATGATGAGCTTGTTATCATCCATCTTGGAGATTGCCTATGGAAAGAAAGGGGACAGGTATATGTTGTGTTTCTTGGATCGAGTTCCTTCTTATTTTTATACATACGAAACTTGTTATATTATTTGGTTTTGTCCTGACTGAAAGCATTCTGCAGAACACCCCTGCACACATATGTTATTTGGTTGCAGAAGCCAATTTTGAGGCATATTCAGACAGTGCTAGACTGTGTCTTATTGGTGCAGATCACTTGAAATATCCACGAACATACGCCAGTCCTGAGGCTATCCAGGTGATCCACACTATTTTTATTTTTATTTTTTGTTATATGTTTTTGTATTGAACTTTGAATTAAATTAGGAGCTTTTTAGACTTAATGATGCAGAAACCAATTGTCAATCTATGCAGGAATTTCTTGCACTTGTAATTGACATGTAATGAGTTTATATTATACTGATTTCTGGATCCCCTAAAATTTTTGCTCTTTAAATTGTATAAGGAGCATGTATCACCGTTGAAAAAAGAAAATAACTGTATTTCGTCATTGTTATTATTATTATTATTATTGTTTTTGTCGTTGCTGCTGTTATTTTTATTGTTGCTTTTATTATTTTTATTATTATTAATTTTTGTTTTACTACTTTAGCCGAGTTTAACTGAGCCAAACTTTATATTGACAGAGGACAGAATTATACGAATACGCAAGGGTTCTTGGAAATTCTCAGTTTCTCCTACTACCTTTTCAGCCGTATAAGCTTGTTTATGCCCACATGTTGGCAGAAGTTGGAAAAGTTGCAGACGCTTTGAAGTAAGTATAACTGTTGTTCATCTAGACCCTTTTTATTCTTAAGGGTGAAATTTGAAAGTGGTCGCTTTTTTAAAAAAAAATTATTTGCCTCTAGCTCATTACACAATATGTTTGGTCAGATACTGTCAAGCAATTTTAAAGTCTTTGAAATATGGTCGAGCACCTGAAGTGGACACATGGAGACAGTTAGTGTCATCGCTAGAGGAGCGGATAAGAGCCCATCAGCAGGTTTTTCTCCAAAATCCAGTTGTTTATCTCTTTTTTTTTTTTTTTTTTTTTTTTTTTTTTTTTTCCTCTATATGTTTTCTTACATAAAACATTTTGTACAGGGTGGTTACGGTACAAATTCAGCTCCAACCAAACTGATGGGTAAATTGCTCACATTATTTGATAATACTGCTCATCGTGTTGTTGGAGGCCTGCCTCCACCTGCACCCTCGACATCACAAGTCATTGCCCAATGTAATGAGCATGCTCAACAACCAGGAGGCTCAAGTCTATCCAATAATCAATCAACAATGGCTATGCCTTCGTTTATGCCAGGCCCAAGTCCACCCAATAGTCAATCAACAATGGCTGTGTCTTCGTTTACGCCAGGCCCAAGTGTGCCCAACAGTCAATCGACAATGGCCGTGTCTTCGTTTGTACCAGGGCCAAGTGTACTTAATAGTCAATCAACAATGGCCGTGTCTTCGTTTATACCAGAACCAAGTGTACCCAATACTCAATCAACAATGGCTATGTCTCCGTTAATGCCTTCAGCATCGATGGAGCCAATAAGCGAATGGACTGCCAAGAACAATCAACTAAATGTACCCAATAGAAGCATATCCGAACCAGACTTTGGGAGAAGCCCAAGTAAGGTACGTGTTTATTTTTTCTGGCACTACTCTTATTTTATTAGACCTTGTTTCTAATTATATAAATCACTTGAGTTTGTCAAGAATTCACAAGTAAATGGGAGGTTTCGATGTGCAAGCAAAAAGGAAAATGAATAATCCACTGAACTTCACAGTGTACAATGTGTGTTACAGTATTGGAGAAGTGATAGAGTAAACCACTGTTATATTAATGTATTCCATATTTTGAAAATGTTCACTGTAAAATTCACATCAAAGCAACAACTTGTAGATTGTGCAAATTGTTCATATTCGTTATAGTTCATGCGTAGCAAGTTCCAATCTTCCCAATTTGGTAACATTTCACCTCAATACTAACAAAGACTTGATTTCCGTAGTTGAACTGTGTTGTACTGGTGGAAATAAATTTTACAGCCATTATTTTGTGTTCAATCAGGTTGATTCATCCAAGAAAGTGGAATCTTCTAAACCGCAAGAAAATGCATCAACATCTACCGGGTCATCTCGTTTTGGTTTTGGCATATTTCAGAAGACTCTGGGATTTGTGAAAAGATCCCGACAGGTACTTAAACATTCCTTTTACTATGTTTGAATGATGGGATTTTCTTGGAGATATATTCTCAGTTTAACCTTACAAGTTGTCCTGTTTTTTGTTGCTCTGAAGGCTAAATTGGGTGAAAAGAATAAATTTTACTATGATGAGAAACTTAAGCAATGGGTTGAAGAAGGTGTTGAACCTCCAGCCAAGGAAGCAGCCTTGCCACCTCCACCACCGATTGCAGCCTTCCCGAATAGAATGCAAGATTACAATATAAATGATGCACTGGAAACCAAAAGTTTCCCTGCAGTTAATGGGTCACAAATCCCAAGCCTGATGTCCCCTGAACCGAGTTCTGGAATACCACTCATTCCACCCAGTTCCAACCAGTTCTCTGCACGTGGACGTACGGGCGTTCGCTCAAGGTAGACTCCTGGATTCTCTTTCTGTCTTTCCCCATTGCTCGTCTTTGTATTTATTTTTTAAGTGCAGATTAGTCACTTAATCTAAGTTGTGTTCAAATTTCCTTAGGTATGTTGATACATTCAACAAAGGCGGCGGGACGCCAGCAAACCTATTTCAGTCACCATCTCTTCCATCTGCTAAACCTGTGGGTGGTCCCAAACCCAAGATTTTCGTCCCTGCTCCAGTAACTTCCTATGAAGAGACAGTTCAAACAACTGGAGAAAGCACACATGAACCTACGGTGACCAACAACAATCCCCCAAAATCATTTGAGAGTGCATTTTCCACTCCACAAGCGTCAACATCGTCTTCAATGACTATGCAGCGGTTTCCCAGTATGGATAACATTGTACAAAAGAGAGCCGGAGATATGGGAAATGGTAATAGCTATGAGCCCCATGAATCCCGCCGCGTAGCATCGTGGAGTGGAAGCCTTAATCATGCTAGCAATCCTTCTATGAGGAATGAAATAAAACCTCTAGGACAATCGCTCGGTATTTCTCCACCATCACGCATACACAGCGGTGCACCACCACCGATGCAGTTTCCAAGTAGTGGTGGCAGTTTTGGAGACGACCTTCAAGAAGTTGCACTCTGAGGTGTAGGGAATAGTTGTAAATCTATAGAGCGTTGCGTTATAGTGGGGGGCGTTGCCACCGGATCCTTGTGCAAGTTTGGTGATGACGCAGACGGGAGTTCAGGTTTTTGGTGAAGTCCCTTTGCCCCCATTAGAGGAAGTTACACATATACCTGAAACCAGCAATCAGTTTGCGCTGAGGAAACACAAAGCAAGCAGCCGTTGTACCAATTTTCGAAGGGAATGTCTCGTAGCGTAACGTAATTGCATATATTACATATACCATTACTCCCTTTGATGGATGTTATTCAGAATTTTGCCAAATCAATAATCCTTGCAGGTAAGAACCTACATTGTTAATTTTTATTTTTATTTTCGTTCAAAAAAAAAGTCGTATTTATGGATGCAAATTTTTTCCTCCTTAATCTTGGACAAAATTGCACCTACAAAACAAATAACACCTTAGGTCAAGGCCAACAGCCTCACATGCTCACGATGATTTTTTTTTTTGGGGGGGGGGGCAGCGGCTTACCTTCGATGCCAAAGTTAGAATTCAGAGAGAAAAGTATTTTGAGAGTTTTGGAGAATTTTAGCGAGTGTGGAATCATCTTTTGGTGAAAATGGGAGCCTATTTATAGGGATAGGCTGGTCCTCTTTGGAGAAAGAGTGGCCAGCCATTAGGTGGGTTTTTGGGTTTAATTTTGGTTTAATTAGCCAATTTTAATAGGTATTAATTGGCTAATTAAACATAAGGGGAATGTTTTGGTGGTTATAGAATATTTAGAATAAATAGATAATTAGGTTATGTAATAATTAGCTAATTGATTTAGCTAAAAAGGAGAAATTAGGTAAAAGATATATGGGGTGAAATAAATTTTAGGGATTACCTCGTAGAAGGATTTGATGAGATGAATTTTTGAATTGTTACCTTTTTTGGGCATTTTTGACTTGGTTGAGGATGATTGCCCGCTACTCGCACATAGGAACCCTGATATGCCTCAACGGTATTGTTGTCTTCTTAATCCAAAAATGCACGTGTCGCTTTGTGAATATTTTTGGCTCCACAAATGCCCCCACATTGTTGGGCTACTCGTAGGAAAAGGGCAGCAGGTGTAAAGATCTTCTTGCTTTAGGAATCGTAGGATTGTTTCCTATTTTGATGTTGATTATGTCTTTAATAGGAAAGTAGATCCTTCTAGGAAAGGGAAATAAATTTCTCTCAAAGCCTATTTAAGTCCACCTTAAGTGGGTTATTAAATCAACTTTGAAGAGTGATTTATTCTACCCTACAAAAGAGAGAGCCTAGAGGATGTTTGTTCCCCATCCTCTAGCAATCTTCTATATCTTGCCCGTGCAAAGGATCGTCTTTCATTGCTTTCTTTGTTTTCTCCGCGCCGCACCGAGGTAAGAAAAAATTAATTTTCCTTGTCTTCTCCTTGGATAGTGTTGTCGCGGGGCAACCGTCGAGGTGGTGCGGCACGTCGGCTGGCAGGGACCAGGAGTTGGCTTGGCATGGGCTGAGAAGGTGTTGTGGTAGGGTAACTGCTTGGGCTGCTCGACTTGGCTAGAGCCAAGGCAGCTTGCGCGGCTGGGGCCGCGGATTAAGGCGCTGAGGCGTAATGTTAAGCGAGTCAAAGGCTCATGTCTGCTGGCTTCTTGGACCTGACGGGGGCCAGGCCTACGATTGAAAGAGATGAGGAGGTCAAGGCCTCATGGGCTGTTGCAATACTGGGCATGCAGACCTTCTGCTTGTTGGTCTGAGAGAAAAAATGATACTTAGTTCTCTTCGCCAGGAGAAATGTGGGTTGCTCTTTCTCGAGAAGGTAAAAAAGATAGAGGCGGAAGAGATATTCCTCGTCTGCTCAAGAGATGCTGGTTAAGAAAGAACCGAAGACTTCCTCACCTGCTCGTGAGGGTCCACCTGTTGTCGATAAGCCTGTGATTGACATGACTTCTTACAATAGGAAGAAAATTGAGGTTGTTAAATCTGAGCCTGTGGCACCTGCTATGTCTAGAATGGCTAATTCAATTGTTGATAGTATTGCTCAGTATGGAGGTCTTGTCATGCCTTTAGTGCTGAAGTCTGTGCCAAGACGTCCATTGGGAGTTAAGTCCGGTTCTCATTCGGAAAGGCTTGCTATTATGAAGAACGATAAGGTGGACTCTGTTGCTAAAGTGGCGCTAAGGCCCACTCCCTCTGTTGCTGAGACTGATTCACCTGTTAGGAAGGAGGAGCCTGCTAGTGTAGGCAGCTATGAGAAATCCACTAAGCCTGCTTCTAGGAAGCTGCTGAGATCTGTGTGCTTTTGAAACCAGATCTGCTTGAAGACATGGACCCTTGTACCAAGTTTGTTGATGGCGTTAGAAAGGTTTGTTTGCCCAAGTTCCTTTGTGAAGCATACGACCCAATATAGAATGACTACTTTGCTTGCTATGATGCATATATAGCAAGGCTCAGATTCAAGATCTTGAGTTTGCAATTTCTGAGCTTCATTTCGCTGCTTATGCAAAGGATGAAGAGTTGATTGCTACTTATCATCAAGTGATCCACTTTAAGAGAATTGTCGATAGGCTTAAACCCCAAGTGTTGGAACTTCGAGGTGTACTGAAGATCAACGAAAGTTTGAAGAAGGAAGTGGATGAGCTATAGCGCGTCTGTGTTGGTTTGCTCAAGGAGAATGAGTAGATGAAGGGTGAAAATGGTGGGTTCGAGCTTTCGAGACCTTCTTTATTTCTCTGGAAGACTTGCTTGTTTTTACTTTTGAGGCTTCCATTGGTGAAGTAGTTGAAGAAGTTGGTGCCTAGGCTAGGGCAGTCGAGGGTGAAGCGCTGAATGATGCCGCTGCTAAGGGCGTCACTACTACTAAAGGTGTGGTGACCGAGTAGTCGTGAAATGTCCAAGCTGCTGGAATGTAGTCTTCTAGGTAGCCTTTAGGATTTTCTTTGTTTTTCCTTGTAGTTCTTGTTTTTCTTGAACTCCTTTGGCATTTTTCAAGTTGTTTAAAAACATTCTTCCTTCGCTTTGTTCATCTTTGCTTCTTTTGTTCATGCCCTAACCTTTAGACTTTATAGACCAATGGCAGGCGTGCTACTTTTCTATAAGCAGACAAGCTCGCGTAGTCTATGCAGCCGTAGGTGTTGGTATAGAACTTTGTAAAGTTGTTAGCCATAGGGTTGGCAGCCGGATGCCTTACTTACAGAAGCAGACAAATTCGCTTAACCACTAGGCTGTTAACCTTGCCTTTCTCCTATTCCGTACGTTGCGTAGCAAGTATCATAACACTTTAGGACTTGGTGTAAGTTGTTTCGCACTTGGCAGAGGTGAAGCTTATCGACTACGTAGCATGTCAGCAGTGGATAAACCTTCGTATATGCATGCTAGCTTGTTTAACCTTTCATAAGAATGTACGGTTGTATAAGTCTAGCATGGCTTTACTGCTCGAAGGGTAAGCCGTAAGCAGTCTTTTGGAAACCATAGGCTACCTTAGTGCACTCGGTAGCAGCTTTAGGGTTCCAGGGTAGCTGTTCATCGGATGTACTGCGTAATGTGCCATCTCCATCTCTAAGGCCCGGTTCCCTACAGATTAGGCTAAGAGACCCAAAATCTTTCAATTAGCTAAGCCTTGAAAAAGATCGTTGTGGCTACTTCTAGGAATCTCGGCGCAAGCTATCATGCATCTAGTTATACTAGGGCAGCCAGGCTCATCCACATCTGGATATTCGAAGTGTAGAGTTTATCCTCCCGTCTTGGAGAGCTAACCCATGTAGGGTGTCGCGGAATTGGTTTACCCTCTCGCACTAGAGAGCATGGTTAGTCCCTCGGGGGGGGCGCAATTCCTGCAATGAGTCCCTAAGAAGGGCACGGTCTTCTTTTGAAGTGCAAGAGTGACCAGTTGTTGTAAGCATGCAGCCGAGCCAAGTTATGATTACTTCTGAATTCCTCATTAAAAAATGAGTGAAATGAACGAGAACTTAGCTGTAAGGTAGGAACTGCATAACAACTGGATAGTCCTTCGGCTTGTGAAGTGGTCCCCATCAAGCTGCTTGAGTCTTCGGGTTTTGATGTAGTGGGAGGTCACATATAGTACTTCCTCAAATTGTAAGCGCTCCACTACTTTTCGATCTTTTTGTCGTTTCATGGTGACGATGGTGTAATTACTCTTGCCGTCTACTCTGCTGATCTTGTACGGACCTTCCTAGATAAGATCCATCTTTTTGGAGCCTTCTCTATAGGCAATGATGAAGGATTTTCTTAGGACTAGATCATTGGGCTGAAACTGCCGGATCTTGGCTTTTTGTTGTAGCTGGAGAGGAACTGCTGCTGGTAGGCTACGATGCGAATGATGGTTTGCTCGCGCTTCTCCTCTGCCAGATCTAAACTTGTGGCCATCTCCGTACTGTTTTGCTTAATGCTTAATAGTAGAGCGGTGATACTTAACTTGATGATATTGGGAAGAATGATTACTTCTGAGCCAAATGCCAAAGAGAAAGGAGTCTCACCGATTGCTCGTCTTTTGGTGGTGCGTTATACTTGTAGACATCCGGGGAGTTTGTCTAGCCATTTTCCCTTCTTGTTGGTAAGGGATTTCTTGAGGCAGTAGAGGATCATCTTGTTGGATGCTTCGGCCCGTCTATTGCCTTGAGGATATCTCGGATTAGACATATGCTGCTTAATGCCATACTTTTGGAAGAACTTCACCATACCTTTGCCTATGAATTACGAGCCATTGTCAGTTACGATGGACTATGGGATGCCAAATCAACAAATGATGTTCCTCTATATGAAGTGCTCTATGTCCGTTTGAGTCGTGGTCGTCTTGGGATCTGCTTTTTTACCCATTTGGTGAAGTAGTTGGTTGCCACAATCATCATGCATCTGCCCTCAGTAGCAGGCGACATAAGTCCTACCAGGTCGATTGCCCACTGTATGAACGGCCAAGGACTCGTATGCGGGTGTAGCTTGCTGGCAGGCAATGCTGGTATCAGCTTGTAGCACTGGCAGCGGTCATACTTTTGTACTAACTCCTTACCATTCATGGAGCTGGGGCCATGTCACACGTAGCAGGAGATGCTCAAATGCCGGTATCGGACCATTCTAGAGCTAAATTATGGAGCAAGGGTTGGCTAGGGCTGTGTGACACGCAGCAGGAGGTAGTGCTCAACTGCCGGTACATGTTGCTCCTATGTAGAATCTTTTGGGGCGACAAGAACAAAACTTGCTTCCGAGTGTGTTATTCTAGTGTTCGTTTGCCCTTGGCATGTCTTTTGGGCCGAGTTGTTGCGTTCGTCAAAAAACGTTGCATCCGCCAGGGTCTACGCCTTTATCATCGTGCGTTTGGATTGAGCGGAATAATGCGTCATGAGGA